CATTAGTCTGGAAGGAATCCACAGCTTTTTATTTCCTGTTGAAACAAAAATAGAAATCCTTTTCCCCAGTAACTTGTCCTTGAACTTAAATTTTGGAGTCAAAGCATTTTTAAAATATATAAATTGAATTAATCCAGCAACATTTCCTTTAACAGTTGTTTCCTCAGCAGTCAAACAATACAAAGACAATATAATTCTGTACAGTATCCAGATTCTCTCCATCTGTGGCTTTTCTATTATTCTGTTTCTTTTCTATTTTTTTTATTTTATTTTTTATTTTTTATTTATTTATTTTTTTTTTTTGATCAGTCTCTCGGGGCTCTTTCACTTTCTCTTTGCTAGCCTTTTTCTTTTTGCGCGCACCCAACTTTTCGTCACGTTCTGCTTCTGACATGCTTTCCTGATAGCATGTCTATCAGAATTTACCTTATTTTCATGTTATGCTTCTGACATGCTTTCCTGATAGCATGTCTATCAGAACTTACCTTATTTTGTTACCTGTCTGCCACAGTTCTGAATCCTTTCCAGCTGACTGAAGGGTCCCCCTTGTGCCGCTGATGTCAGGTTCCTGGGTTTCGGCACCACTTGTCAAGCGCTGTCGCCTCGACTGCAAGAACGACACTCAACAACAGGATTCTTCTGTAGCGTAGCTTTATTGTGCGGCTCTTACCGCGAGATGAGGAAGGACCCCAAGGAGGAAAAAGGGCTCTGTTTATATATGCTCAGAGGAGTCGTGTCCATTACTGATTGGTGCAGCCCACGATACTTGTGACAAACACCCCATGATGTGTGTTACGCATGCGCATTGCTATCCTTTGGGTGGAAAACAATCGCGCCTTGCTGGCTCGTGGACAGGAAACCGGCCCCATCTTCGGGAGTGGCACCAGTGGCTCTCTACATCTGATGCTTTTGATGACTAGTCACTTTGTGCCACACCATCCCCAGTGGAGACAGTGTAGCAATGGCTGAGAGAAATCTCAATGGCTACCTGTCCAGAGGTTCGCACCACATGTGGTTACACCTCCTGGGGAAAAGTGGTCCAGGACCCTGCAGGTGATTGCCTGACAGTCTGGAATGGGTGCTAGGTGTATGTTGTGCTATGATAGCTATGATGCTTTTGATCATGGGTGCTTTGGCCTGTAGCTCCACTGTTAATTCAGAGAAGCCCAGAAAACACTTAGATATAGTTTCAGAGACTTAAAGAGATACAGACCAGCAATCAACAGATAGATGTTGCCCTCTGTGCCCTCAGCTACAAATCCCAGGGTGCCAGATGAGACTTCAGGTGTTGGTCCAAGGCCTAATAAATTAACATAGCTAAAGCTATAAGAATTTGCCCATAAAATGACCCTGCCTAATTAGCCCGCCTGCAGTAAAGCTGTTGTGGGATTTACTACTGAGTCTTTAGGGCCCCTAAATCAATAAAACAGTACAAGAGTTCTTATCAATGCTGTTAAAAGTTTACTGACCAGAGACAATGATTATTCTCTAAACTCAGTAAATCAAATCCCTAGTACGCTGACCACAAGCAGGCCAAAATAAACAGAGGTTCCCGGCTACACATTTGCTTAGATGTATTTACGATCTCATGCTCCAAAGTAATTGCTGACATTTCTATAGTATGTCTGTAAATTTTAAACTGTGGTCAAAGATCTGTTCCTTGAACTTTCTGCATAAAAACCTGATGCTCTGAAGTAAAAATCACAGCAGTTGCAAACCTCCTCGAGTGTGTTTGTGTCTGTCTGTCAAGCCGAAGTCTGTTCATCCGAGTCTTGGTCTAGCCCACTGAAAGGTCTACCACTGAAGTTGGTAGAGTACTTGCCTAGCAGGATGGAGGAAGAGTTTGATATGTAGCACAGTAGAAAACCTAGGTGTTGAGTCAGCAATATGGTTCAGTGGATAAGAGCCAACTTTGAAAAACTGTCCTCTGACGTCCACTTAAGTGCCATGGCACAGGTGTTCCACACCCAATAAACAAAAACATGTTTTATAACACAAACAAGAAACACATACAACTGGGATGGAGGTACAGGCCTGTAATCCAAGCATTAGGGAGCTTGAAGCAGGGGTTTCCTAAATTCAAGGGCATTCTTGACTACAAGGTATATTGAGCCTGAACATTTTGGATATAGTGTCCATGAAGTTCTCGTCTCATCTCCATTCTGGGGAAACCACACCCACAAGTGACACAACACTGGTGATGCCGTGGCTCAATGTGCATTACTTGTTCCTGCAATCTCTGCTCAATCTGCCACTCTGCAGAAATAGCAAGACTCCTACAGCCCCCAATCCCTCTTCTAAGTACTAGTTCTAAGTACTCAGCTTCCAGCTTCTTTCAAAACATAGAAGAGTCTAGTCTTTCTGCTCAAAATACAGATTTTTTTTTCCAATTTGCTTCCTTCCTTCACTCCTGCTTAGCAACACAGGTGATCCAGGATGCAGGGTAGTGAAGGCAGTTGGATTTTGGAGTGAGAGTTAAACTCAAATACTTAGCCCATCTCTCAGTGTTTTTGCTATTAGATAGTTACTTGCTTTAAAAAAAGAAAAAAATGTCAAGTGGTGGATAAGAATATAGGCCTAAATGTGAGAAAACAAAACAAAAACAAGAATAGTGCATGGCATCTAGATGTTGGCTCAACATAACCATCACTTTATCATCACAACTCTGCCAGGAATTCCTTAGGGTCCAAATTAGGGTCCAGAATTCTTCCCGAAGTTCTAGTGGCATCTCTGCCTGGAATATGGAGTAATTTTGTATATATTCAGGGAAGGTGACAACTAGGTAAATCACTACTGAAGCTTAATGCCTAAATTTCCGTTTCAGGTCTGGTGAGAAGTTACACTCCCCAGTAAATCTAAAAAGACACAATTTCTAAAGACAATGGGGTGAGAGGGTCAAAGAGGGAGTGGGAAAAGTAAAAGGGACAAAAGCATCCCTGCTGAACAGTGGCTGTTCTACCACGGTAAGCATAGGTGGCTTCAATGACCCGAAACCTTGACCCAAAACTCCACCTTTCCCTCCACTCCCAAGTTCTTCCAATAATCCATATACAGACTCTGCTGTTTCCTGGGTGCTTTCCTATTTCTCCCATGACCTTCAAACATAAGACCAACATAACTATGAATTTTATGATTAAATTGGTATTTACTGTGTCTGAGTGGATATGCCACGCACACACTCTCACACAGCACCTCAAATTACAAAACTGTAAGAACAACCTCCTTACTTTACACATTAGCCCAGAAAGTCTCAATGTGTGCCCGCCCTTGCTGACTTGAACATATGTCCTAAACATTCCTGTTGTTAGAAGAAGGTCTGGGGGCAACACAAAGGCTTTAGCTTCTGTAAAATGGTGTGTAGTGGTAAGTCATAGTGGATGTGCTAGTGAGTTTTGTTTCCTAACATAACGAGGTCTCAGAGCCTGGTCTCACATGCTTATGAGACTGCAGAGTGGTGGTGCTGACCAGATGTGAGTAAATATTAATGGGGAGTTCTAGAGAATTGTGGCCTCAGGAAAGGTGGGTAGAGAGCACCAAGAGAAAATAATGTTCTTTAAAGCAGTGTGGTTGATAAGCAAAGTGTAGCTTTGGGGAACAGGATACAACCTGGGGAACACACTTTCACAAAATGCTAACAAGGAGAGGGATTTTTTTTTTCCAGGTGGCATCTTCACAGAACTCTTTAAAGATCTTTAAAGATGGAACTCCTTTTGTCTCATTTAACCCTTTGGAAAAAAAAAGATAGGGCATTGCATTTCCATTTCACCCTGGGAAGACGTTCTCTTGGTGCTCTCTACCTTCCCTCCCTGGGGCTGTAATTCTCTAGAACTCCCCATTAATATTTACTCTCATCTGGTCAGCACCACTCTGCAGCCATTCATTTCCCAAGGCATTCTGTCACTCATCCCTACAAATGACATTATTACAGCTCAGAGCATGAAGCCTCCTCCTCACCCCCTTGTAGAGCAACAATGTATGAACACTTCCATGCCGTGGATGGACTGCACAGGCTGAAAAATAGAGTAGGCGTGAACAATAGAAAGCCTTTAACAAGACGTTTACAGAGTGTTAATGCCAGGTAGGCATCAGTTTCCTCATGCATTTCCCTCCGTTCATTGACTCCTTCACTAACATCTCCAACTCCTGATCATCCCAGTCTTTTCTACCCTGCTGGGATTACAGGCGTGAGTCACAAATCTGGTTTATCTGGGGAAGGGGATGTTAGAAAGCTCCAGGCCCCCTCACTATTTGGAAAGGACTAAGGTTGTTTTCCTTACCTTCTTTCCAACATTTATCTTTGTTCAAGGAGCCAGCCCAAGTACAAAAGCCACTGCATGTGAAACATAAAACAAGCGTGGTCCAAAACTCGGAACACCGCAGCTAATTCGTCGTGTCCCCAGGCACATTCTCAAGTCCTCCATAGAGCTTGACAGAGCAAGGTGCACTCCCAACTGAACCAGGAGCTTCTTTCAACGTCAGGACACTCAGAAATCACCAGCTTGCCGCAGGCAAGAGGCTGCGCTAAGGCTCGCTTCCGTGAGCGCCCCCTCGTGGTTCCGGGGCCACTATTTACTCCATGCCTCGGCGACTTGGAAAAGAAAGAGCGGAGAGCCACGCCTGCAGTCTTAGCGGCTTTGACTTTTCTGCCATGGGCACACAACCGCGCACCTTCCTGTGCCAACCATCTGCTTCCAGAGCAGAGGGGCGGGGCCTAGCGGAGAGGTGCAGCGGAAGCGCACCGGCGTGGGGGCGGGGCCGCGCGGAAGGGCGGGACGGGACGGATGCCGGCAGGCCTGGGGCGGGGCTGCGCGAACATCATCTTGTGTGCCGCCTTTCGCCGCGCCCCGCCGGGGACGCTTCCACTCCTGCAGCGCATTTGGCTATTGCGCGCGTGCTCGCTTGTCCCCGGCGTGAACCGGAACCGCTTGCCGAAGTCGAGGCTGCGAGCGGGTCGCCGAACGAGAGCGCGGTGGGAGGCGGCCTGCGCGGCGCCGCCCGCCATGGCCGCGGCCGGGTGAGCTCTGCTTGGGGGCCGCAGTCGCGGACTCAGGCTCCTCCGCCGGAAACGGGGGCTAAGGCCGTAGTAGCCCGGGCCGCTGTCTGGTGGTCGCCGTAGCCCGCCCATTTGTCGCCGCTGTCCATGGCGAGGCCCCGCCGCCGCCGTCGCTGCTGACCCGGGGCCGGCGCGGCTTCCGCCCTCCGCCGGGCGCGGGCGGCCTGCCTTTGCGCCCGAGCCCGCGCCCGCGCCCCGGGGCTACCAGCCGGGCGCTCGACGATGGGGAACACAACCTCGTGCTGCGTGTCGTCCAGCCCCAAGCTCCGGAGGAATGCGCACTCGCGGCTGGAGTCCTACCGGCCCGACACGGACCTCAGCCGCGAGGACACCGGCTGCAACCTGCAGCACATCAGCGACAGGGAAAACATCGACGGTGAGCGATGTCGCCTGTCCCTCCCCTCCCCAGCGCGGCTCCTGAGCCTTGCGGGTCCTCTGTGCAGGGCTAGGCCCGCAGGGAGCAGTGGAAACTTTGCTAGCCATAGATCTCCAGGAGTGTGTGGCTTGCGTGTACGGGGCGCGTTTGTATGCATGTGCGTGTGCTGCCCGGAGGTGACAGGGAAGGCCTCTGGCAGGGTGCTTTTGGGATGTTGCCAGAGTCGTTATGTTTAGGGTAGCAGTGGTATTTGTTCTTTCCAGAAGGAAGGGAGTTGTCATAACGGTGAGGTTTTTTTTTTGTTTGTTTTGTTTTGTTTTGTTGGTGTTTCGAGACAGGTTTTCTCTGTGGCTTTGGAGGCTGCCCTGGAACTAGCTGTTGTAGCCCAGGCTGGTACCGAACTCACAGAGATCCGCCTGCCTCTGCCTTGCGTGCACCACCATCGCCTTGCCAACCTTGAGTTTTTTCAGCTGGAGGCTTTTACCTGGAGTTGGCCTGCATTCCCCCAGACAACTCTGTTCCACCCCTATTCAAAGCCTATACCAGGCCCAAGGGAATATGCTCCTGACTGTAGATACACAATTGTTTACATATGAATGATATGTATGCATACACACACACACACACACACACACACACACACACACACACACACACACACACGGGGGGATGCTTGCAGGGTTAAAGTACAAAGTTCACCTCAGCATGATGCTGAAAACTTATTACCAGGCGGTTGTTGGTTAAGTGATCTAGTTTTGCATGTGGTAGAATTACAGTCCTATGAATTTCAGATTAATCTGGCTGACTTGGTTTGTATATTTGAAAATAGTCAAAAGGAGCCGTTACTACAACAATAATGATTTATCTTACTGATTTTGCAGTAGCCTTCTCAGTACTGTCTTATCAGTCTCTATAAGTAGTTTGTGCATTGGGCATAAAATACAGTTTATGTGATTCTGAACCCAAAAGGTTAGACGTTGGAAATACATCATTATGTATTTTTTTTTTTGTGTGTGTGTGTGTGTGCTTTTTTGAACATACCAATATTCTCACACAGTTTAGTTAAACTCACCTGAATTTTTTTCTTATGAGAATGAATTGACAGCTGGAGCATGCCCTATAATGTGAAAAGCTACATTTAAAGGCTAAAGAAAAGAATTTTGTCATTGTTTCATGTTAGAACGGTAGCTTTATTAAATGAGCAGTTTATAGTGAATTCTGGTACTACATGATTTATCTAGTGTTACTTAAGATTTATTTTTATGTGTGTGTCAGTTGACGTCAGAGGAAGGTGTTGTATCACCTGGATCTGAAGTTACAGGTGGTTGTTAAGTGTACACAGTGGGTGCTGGGAAACTATTTCAGGTATTCTGGAAGTACAAGCATTCTTAATTACCAAGCCATCTATCTCCAGCCACTCTAGTGTTATGTGTTCATTAGCTTGACTTCCTCTTTAGATGACCTGAACTGTGGCCATGCATTTAAATATTTTAAAACATATAGAAGAATATTAAACTCCTTCTAAAGACTATAATAAAACTGTATTTTAAAGGAAGGAGTGAAGTAATGAATGAATTCATTGTAGAAGGTTGGTACCAATCCTGTACATGATTGACAAGCGGAAATACATGGGATACTTTAATAATTAATTTTCTTGTAAAGGTTTATGTTAGGCCCTCTTCATGCAAGTATGTAATGTTCTTTGGGTTTATGCCCTGCATCCCTCACTGCCCTCACATTTCTCATACCTCCCCTTTTCCATTACTCTCCTTTGTTTCCAAACAGTTTTGCTTCTACTTTTATATTGTTCCACATACAGCATTTTATGTACCTGTTAAGTCTGGGACCCATAAGTGAGAGAAAACATGGCAGTGTTTGCCCTTCTGAGACTGACTTAATTTGCTTAATTTAATTCTCTCCAGTTGTACCTTTTTTTTTTTTTTTTACTTAGAATGACATGATTTCATCTCCATGGCAGAAACAGATTCCATTGTATATAAATCACATTTTCTGTTTCCATTCTTCAGTTGATGGGGAGTTGTGCAATAAGCATTGATGTGCAAGCATTTCTGTGATTTTTTTTCCTTTTCTTTTTTATATTTTTGAACAAGTACCCAGGAGTAGTATAGCTGAGTCATAAGGTAAATTTATTTTTAGCTTTTTCCAGGGTTCTCCATACCTACATTCTGAACTAGTTTGCATTCTCACCAGCAGTATATAAGGGTGTCCCTTTTGTCTGCATTTTCTCCAACATTTGTTGTTATTTGTTTTCTTAATAAGCTCTATTCTTAATGAAGTGGGTTAAAAAATCTCATTGTAGTTTTTAATTTGTATTTCTTTATGGTTAGTGTTGTTAAATATTCTTTTATATATTTTAAATTTTGTTGTTTTGAGAAAAGATCTCTCTAAGTGGAACTTGATGTGTATTCCAGGCTGGCCTTACACTTACAGAAATCCACCTGCTTCTGTGGAACTTGTTGTGTATTACAGGTTGGCCTTGGTCCACCTGCTTCTACTCCAAATGCTGCGATTAAGGATGTGCTCTAACACTCTTGGTTTCATACATTTGTTGCCAGCTTGTACTTCATCTTTTGAGAACTGTTTGTATAATTCATTAGACCAGTTCTTGATTAGGTAGGTTAGTTTTTTGAGTTCTTTCTGTATTCTAGATTTTTAACTCCCTGTCAGATTATATAGCAGTCTATAAGCTGTCTCTTCATGCAGCTATTTCCTTGACTGTGTATAGTTTTTTGTTTTTGTTTTTTCCTTCATGGAAACCCATTTATAGTTGTTGGCACTATGTCTTGAGAGCCTGAGTTTAGAAATGTTTGCCTAGGCTGGTATCTTACATGTTTCCTCCTCTTAGGGTTTCAGGTCTTGCATTAAGGTCTTTGATGTGTTTAGAGTTGGTTTTTTTATATGGTGAGAGACACGGGTCTAGTTGTATTCTTCCATGTGTAGATGGATAGTTTCGCCAGCAATATTTGTTGAGGAGTCTGTTTGCTCAAATGTGTATTTTTCTGATTTTGTAAGAAAAAAATCTTGTGACTGTCTGGGTTAATAGGTGGGTCTCCTGTGCTGTCATTGATTTATGCCTCTGTTTTTGTACTAGTATTATGACATTTTTTGTTCTTTTTGAAGCAGAGTTTTACTTTGTAACTCTGCCTGGCCTGAAACGCATTAAGTAGACCAGGCTGGCCTAGAACTCACAAAGATTTACTTGCCTCTGTCTCCTGAGTGCTGGGATTAAAAGTGTGTGCCAGTGATGTTTTTATTGCCACCTCTGTGTAGTACAATTTCAAATCAGGTATGGTGATAATCTCCAGCACTGTTCTTTTGCTTAGGGTTGCTTTACTAATAGGTCTTTGGTGTTTCTCAGTGAATTTTCAGCCATCCCCTATTTATAAAGAAGAATGATGTCAGAATTTTAATGGGAATTGTATCCAATTTGTAGATTTTTTTGATAGTATATCATTTTCATAATAATTTTTGTTCACTTTATGAGCATGGGATGATTTTCCATCTTATAGAATGTTTGATTTATTTCTTTGTGTTTTAAAGTTTTCACTTCCTTGGCTGTAGCACAAATTCTAATAAATCTTAATAATAAAAACCCAGGGTCAGGTATCTGGATAAATGCTGAAAGGTCAGAGAAATAAAGGAGCCAGTCACAAGAAAGACCTTTTACCTCTGCTGAATCCTCAGACCAAAGTGGCAGTCCTGTCTCTATAAATCCTTAGTCTGTATTCTCTGAACTCCTGTCTCCTACTGCCATATATTTCTCTCTCTGACCAGTCATCTCTCTCCTGTCCACCTCCTGAGTGCTGGGATTAAAGGTGTGACTACCAAGTACTAGGATTAAAGGTGTGTGCCACCACCCTGGCACCTGTGGCTTACTAGTGTGTGGCTAGCTCTGCACTCTGATCTTCAGGCAAGCTTTATATGCTAGATGACAGAGTATCACCATACTTGCCTACCTTTATTAGAAGACTTGTCTTTGTGTATGTGTGTGTTTGGTTTGTTTGTTTGCTTGCTTTTGAGGTAATTGTGAATGGGATTATTCTGATTTCTTTCTCAGCATGTTCATTATTGGTGTCTAGGAAAGCTACTCATTTTTGTTATTGATTTGGTATCCTTTCTCTTTGAGGAAAGTGCCTTTTTTTTTTTAATTAGCTTTAGTAGTTTTCTGGTAGTCTTTAGAGTCTCTTATGTATAGATTATATTATCTGCTAATAAGATTATTTACTTGTATTTTTTTAAATTTTTTTTCTTTTTTTCTTTTTTTTTTCATATTGTCCTACTTAAAACTAAAGGCATAATATTGAGTAAGAGTGGAGATGGGACACCTTTGTCTAATTCCTTATTTTGTTGTATTCCCCCCATTAGTATAATGTTGGATATAGGCTTGTTACATATGACTTTCTTTGTATTCCTAGTTTCAATAGAACTTTAATTATGAAGGGTATTTTGTTGAAAACCTTTTCTGCACCTACTAAGATAACCATGTGGTTTCTGCCCATGAACCAACTTTTGTGATGCATTGCACAAACCAGTTTTTAAAATCATGAATGATTTTTTTTTTATGTTCTTGAATTCTGTTTGCAGAAATATTTCTTCTTTATGGTACACACCAACATTTGTTAGAGGTTTTATATTTTAAATGAGAGAGCAGAAACAACCCAAAAAAGACAAAAATAAAACAAAAAGAATATTGACAGACATTTCAGAGGACCCAGTTGAATGTTGTTATGGACTCTAGTGAAGAATGGAGACAAAGTGATTACAATCAGTTGTTTGGCACTAGGGCTTTGTCGTAGTTGGGGCTGCTGTTGCTGTGATGAAACGCCAAGATGCAAAGTAGCTTAGGAAGGAAAGGGTTTGTGTGGCCATCTGTATTCCCAGTCACAGTCCACTGAGGGAAGCCAAGGCAGGAAGGAACTCAGCCATATGGGAACCTCGAGGCAGGAGCTGATTCAGAAGCCATGGAGGGGTGCTGCTTA